TTTGCTGTACATATTGCATTATCATGTTTCACTTGCATGACTATTGCTGTCCCTCCGAATCTCAATGCGTATCAACTTCCAATACGAATTGTCCGAAAAGAGAATTTAATTTGCTAAGTAGACCTTTTTGCACCATTACTTTACATCAGCTTGTCATGTTAGAAAGGGTAGGACATGGTTTTGCCTAATTCTGCGGTTTCGCTGGATAGAGCGATATTGAAAATACTCTTTATGGCCCTGCTTAAAACCTGAGATTGCAGATTAGGTATGCTATTGCTATGTATAAATGTGAGGAATGGACAGGAAGCTTTTCGTATGTCCTGCAAGTCAAAAATCTTCTGTTTAGGTCAAGTACTCTCTGCTCATGTTGCTGGTAAAGTTGCGATGAAATCTTACTTGAGTGGAATGCCGGAGTGTAAATTTGGTATAAATGACAAGATCACCATCGATGGTAAAGGAAAGGGCGCTAGTGATGATCCAAACAAAGCGTAAGTTTTGACCATTTCATAGAGATGTAAGACCATGCAAATGTATTCTTTTCCCGTTCCATCATATCTCAATAATTTTAGGGCTCGAGCTTCTGTAGCTATAGATGACTGTCAGTTCCATCAATGTGTGAAACTTACGAAGTTTGACACGGAACATGCTATTTCATTTATTCCGCCGGATGGCGAATACGAACTGATGAGGTAAGGCTTTTTGCTATCCTGTGATGGGAACAAAATGATTGCGAGGTTGTCAGTCTTTGCCGTAGAATTAGTAATATCGATAAAATTATTATCTACCAAATCAAGTCACCATTTTTGCGCATTTGCCAAATATCGATAATCTGAAGCTTAACTGTTCCATTTTTTTCGCTTTTAAGCTTGATGTTGAGTGGGTCCTTATTTTTGCGATATGAAAAAATGTCGGACATTTTGGTCTAACTGCCTTAATTTCTGTTTCTCAAATCGATGTAGGAACGATGCTTTGCTCAAAAAGTAAAAATATCAGTTCATAGCCAAAT